TGATCACAACAAGCGCGCCATATAACACTCGCATTTAACGATGATTGCGTCACCTTTATCCGTTTTTCTTATCTCACTTGTGCTATGAAAACTGTATCCTTTAATAATTTAAGAATTAAACCTCGGATAAAATTTTAGAAAAATTGTGTTAAAATTAAATCATGAATATAACCTTTTAGACTAAAAGTTATTATGAATCACCATGTATATGTAAGAGTGATCCATTTTAATCTTAAGAGGCAAATTTTTCAAAAAAATATGTAAGACACGAAAAAAATATTTTATACAAAAACTTTATGATTTCGAGGGGACATAAAATAGTATCATTCATTTGACTTTAGACGGTTAATTGAAAATCACATAAAGATTATCTTCAATTCCTTGAATGGACATCCATATCTTCTATTACATGTTCTCTGTATTTAAAAAGTAAACTTTAGGAGTTTTCCGAACACACTATAATAGAGTTATTTTTCGTTAAGTAATTTCCAGGTTATGAGATTTGGATTTGACATACAATTTGACATAAAGTAAAAAATTTCTCGTAAACTACTTATTTTTTACCAATTATATCCTAATACATGCACAGAATAATGAGATGAACAAACAGATATAAAGAAAATATATAGATGCTTTTCAAAAAGAATACATCATTGCATATTATAAACCTCCATTTTTCGGACAGCAACTATGAAGTTACGAGAATATATAATATACAATGCGAGTTTTCATTTAAAAAATTGATTCATGTGATCTTTAAATGAGTAACCAAACTAATGACACAATCTTATATCTCCCTCGATATCATAAGGCTTTTGTCTGAAATATTTTCCCATATCTTCCATATTTTTCGAAATATCTATCTGTTAAGATTAAGATGATTACTATTACACATGCGCGCGCGCGCGCGCGCGCGCGCGCGCACACACACACACACACACACACACACACACACACATATATATATATATAGATATATCAACGTGCGATACGTACAATATATTATTAGGTGTACAAAAAAGTTCTGAGCTTTAGATTTCATGCAACCGAAATAACAATTTAAATTTTATATATCTTCCCGCCCTTTTGCGGTTTTAAAGCGTTGACATTTGGCCTTCTAAAATGCCATACGGTTTGGCGTTTGATGCACATAATCTCAAAAATCAGTAGTGTTCACGATGGCAATAACAAAAGAGCATATTCGATTTTCCATCCACTTCGCGTTTCATCTGAAGAAAAATGTTGCTAAAGCCACTGCAATGATTTGTGCTACATATGGAGAGAACGAAAGTCATACTACATAAAAGATGGTATCAAAAATTTCGCCAAGATGAGATTTCAGTCTTGAAGATGAACCGCGTGCTGGACGCACTTAAAAGATTGAAACGGACGAATTGCAAGCACTACTGGATATAAACTCTGCGCAAACTGAAAAGGAGTTTGCAGAACAGCTTGGCGTTACGCAGCAAACCATTTCCGTTACGTTTACATACGATGGGAAAGGTTCAGAAGGAAGGCAGATGGATTCCGCATGAATTGTCAGAAGTTCCGGAAAAAAGATTTTCTGCACAAAATCATTACAGGCAATGAAAAGTGGATTCTTTATGATAACCCTAAACGTAGAAAATCATGGATTGACTCTGGTCAACCCTCGACATCAACGCCAAAGCCCAATATCCATCAAGAAGGTTTTGCTCTGTATCTGGTGGGATTGGAAAGGTGTGTTGTATTACGAGTTGTTACAACCGGGTGAAACAATCACGGCAGACCGCTACCAACAACAATTGACCAATTTGAGTGATGCATTAGAAGAAAAGAGGCTATTTACCGGCTAAGGACGTCGTAAAGTGATCTTGCTTCATGACAATGCTCGACCACATGTTGCGAAAGCGACTCAGGACCCATATCTTTGCGTTAGGTTGGAAACTTCTCCCGCACGCGGCGTACAGCCCAGATATGGCGCCTTCCGATTACTATCTATTTCGATCGCTGCAGCATCATTTGGCTGATATACATTTTGTGAGATTTGAAGAGATACGAAAATGCATTGATGACTTTATCGCTTCGAAGCCGGTGAGCTTCTATCGTCAAAGAATTCGCAAGTTACCCGAAAGATGGCAAAAGATCGTTGATGCAAACGGGCAATATTTCGCTGATTAATATTTTTTTGTTTGTTTTTGAATAAAGATTGAATTTTACAAAAAAAAGCTCAGAACTTTTTTGTTTACCTAATATATATATACATACGCAGAGTTTTCCAAAAAAAATAGCCAAGCGGTCAGATAAAGCAGACTAAACTGAGTCGAAAAGTCCTGTACTCTATTTTGCAATTTTCGCAATAGACGAAATAATTTAACGAATTATTAATTTATGAAAATAATCAAATTGCAAGCGCGCGATGAGATAATACCCAGTGAGACACGCATTGCCAGTGATGTTGGAGAGTGTCACTGCTGCAGTCCGATCTGCATCCATCGAGTGAGAGACCAACATTGCTCTGGAATACTGGTCATGGGGATTCGAGAGAATATACATGTATATTGTAATATATGTATATATGTGTATATTATTTTGTTATTCTAAATACGTTATTGCGATAAATATCATCACATGCCTCTGTGGTCGAAACGATAAGATACCTGCCCGATAAGCAGGAGATCCAGATTCCTGGCTGAAATATTTTTCACAAAATAATTCCGAATTTTCACGATTGGTTCGTGGTCGGACTCCGCTGTGACATATACCGTCCCTTTTTATTTGAAACACACTAGGTGCACGTAACATACATAGATGAAAGCGTAACCAATGCCGCTTGCAATCAACAACTCCATGCGTATCTAGCGACGGCGAACGCGTGTCTCACTGGGTCCTATCTCATCGCGCATTTGCAATTTGACTATTTTCATAAATTAATAACGCGTTAATTATTGCGAAAATCGCAAAATAATACAGGACTTTTCGACTCAGTTTAATCGGCTCTACCTACATATAATCGCTTGGCCATTTTTTTTGGAGACACCTTGTATGTATATACATATATGTATATATATATATATATATATATATATGTTTCTCAGGGATAAGAGTAGCATTGGAGAGTGTCGCCGCTGCATGGTCCGACCTGCATCCATCGAGAAAATAGGATTATCATCTCTCTGAAGTACCAGTCGTAGAGATTCGAGAATATTGTATACATGCATATATGTATATGTAGTATGTGTATATATGTGTGTATCATTGAATTGTTGACATATTATTCTAAACATGTTATTTGCGATAAATATCATCACATGCTTCTGTAGTCGAAAGGATAAGATGCCTACCTGATAAATAAGAGATCCAGATTCGATTCCTGGCTGAAGTGATATTTTTCGCAAAAATAATTATGGATTTTTACGACTGGTTCGTGATCGGGCCTCGTCGT